GATTAGGACGTATACGCACAAAAAACAGGTATAGACAAATATAAAAATACTCGTGCGTCCGTTGTCATGTAACATATATTTCGTGAATAAATATAAATCTCTGTGGCCTCACTTGCTCCTCACGGTAACCTGTTCGAAGGAAAGGGTTGATTGTATAGTATAGGTATAGATTTTACAATATGATATTACATGACTACTAACGTGAACCATAGATAAAATCCAAACAATGGGCAATAACAGGAATCCTATACCTATGGGTATTTATACGGAGTATATTATTATACTTAAACGTCGAAGCACGAACGCTGTGATACACGTCGCGTCCATAATATAATATAGTTCATTGTAAAAAAAGAACTAACGCATTTCTGTGGACGGTCACGAGGTCAGGAATCCCTTTTTAAATCGGGAGCGTGTAGGAATGAAACTGTTTTAAAAAAAAAAAGAAAAAAAACCGGGTAGGCGGTGAATGCGGCGGAGGCTATTACAAAATTAAATTAAAATTAAAACAAAAAAGTACGAAATATTTTGTACTTTTCTCGGGATAGATGTTTACGTGAAATATTTTTTAAGAGCTATTTCCTACCACAAAGCTATACGAAGAAATTCCAAAGCCGTGTAGACGTGAACCGTGCAAGTGTGCGAAGGGGTAAGCACATGTGCGAATAGGTGTGAAAACAGATGCACTACACCATAATTATTGTAGTATAGTACCATCACACACACCGCCCAACACGAAAGATATTATACCGCATTTGTTTGTAATTAAACATAATATCCGAAAGCCGTATATTATTATTTACAACTGAATTAATTATAATTATTATGAACCATCTATATTATATTATTCTATAATTATTCAAACACCTTAGTACCATATGGGCCATTGCACTTTCGGTTATTTTAAACAATACTCTTGTACAAGTTGTTCCTACGTAAATTTCTGAGTAATATTCGTACTAATGAACAATATTCTTTAAAACGACTGATTAGTTGTAATTCGATATTTTATCATGTTTTAAATAATCATCATAATACTCATACAATACATTACTGACTACTTTTTAATATTTTTAATTACCCTCGTATAAAAAATACCATATTCTTTATTTATGTGCCTTTACTGTGATACTTATGAAAAAAAAAATTTATATTTATTTTTATTTTTACTTACAAATACGTTTTAATGATGATTGCAAACATTATCATAATTAATATATTACCTGGATTGATTTCGTAGATATTTTTAACCTACCACTTCAAGAAATATCGTTATTTTTATGAAGTGTGTAAATTCCTAAATTATCTGTAGGCATCTTTTTTATTTATTGTTTACTACACATTTACACTTTCTGTAAAACCCGACTTCGCCCAGGATAAGATTATAAGCAAACATAAAATATGGCGAACCACGGGTGAATCGTCATTGATGTACCTTGTTTTGTAAACTAATTCGGGCGAGATGGACAATCCACCTATTGCGAATTCGATCTATCATTTGGTAAGTTGATATATTTTCGAACGTGTTTCAAACTACTCTCTAATAACTTTCCTCGTATCTCTAAAGACAATCTCTGAAACTTCTGTCAACGTTGGTCAAATAGATTTCGAGTCTATAAGGTTTAAATATTAGGACATTACCTTTTATTGTACATTTGAATAACAAACATTAAATTAAATATCATATTATTTTATTTTAAAAAAATTCCATAAAAACGTGTGGTCCATACCTTATTGTTTTTCAACTTGTATATCTATAACCCGTTACAATCATGAATATAAACAAAAAAATATACGATTTCCATAAGCCAAAATTAAATATATGCATAAGTATATTATCAACTTATAGAAATTGAAAAAAGAAACTTAGAACACTTACTGAGTCTCAAGAAATTAATTATTATAAATGTTATTAAAATTGGTCTATTGATTTTTGAAAATAACGTGTTCAAACATCAACACTCCTTTACTCTTCAGTTTTATAATATTAGTATTGATTAAACAGCTACTCTCCGAACCTTGTCTAATTTAACCTTGAAACACGTTTTATTTTATCATCGATATTTATTTCATATTGTTATCGTCGTGTGTTTTTGGTTTTAATAATACAAATTTTTACGTATTGTTTTTCATTGGGGAGTACTGCATTAAAAGTTATTGCTTTATAAATTATAATTCATTTTAAACTGGTAAATACTACACAGAGAAATAAGAATGAAATAACGCAATGCTCATTGGATGTATTTTTTTTTCCTATTACTTTTATAATTAAAGCTGTTTTTAAAATAATTTCTTACATATCTATAAAATCTAAATATTGTTTAACAATATTATGAATATTAATTATTATAATAATTATAAATTCAAATACAACAGATAAGAAACTTAACAGATGTCTATATATACGTAACTACATAACAAATGAAAATGGGTAATAATATATAAATATTATAAATTGAGTAATAAATAAATACCTACAAAGCTACAACTATACATTTATATCGCTGCTTTAAAAGTCCTTCATTTAATTTAAACCAATATTTGTATGAGATATTTTCAAATTATAATGCATTAATAATATTGTTGATACAACGATATTTTACAGGAAGTCGTATATAGAAAATTACTATTTCCATTTTTATAATAATAGTGTATGACTAAGACACTGTAAGTTATACCAAATGCTTAACCCCTATTAAAAAAGTGTTTGTAATAACACTAATAACCATTTAATTCTAAGTAGTTTTAGGGGAATCAAACAGACTATGATCATGAACTACTCTTGTAACACGATATTTCTATATTAAAATTAGTATTAAGGTTCTGTTATTTCAACAATGGGTGTTCCGTGTTTAAGGTAATTTGTAATAAATTACTTTTAGATAAAAAAAAAAAAAGCCCATTAGTACTTAGCACATTTATTTCTAACATAAGACATATATAAGACAAATTACTTGTAAATAATAAAATATATATTTTATTCGTGACAGTTATAGTGTTATATTACAACGTGTCCAATATAATATTAATATTAAGAGCATTAGGTACTAAAGGTTAGTCAATGTGGTTACTTTTAAAGGCTCCAAGGGATTTAAACCAAACTATAGTTTATAGTACTTGAAGCATTTGTTATAAATAATTAACACACAACATCAGAAGATGTAGTACACATTAAATGGCATTAAAATGTGGACAACACACTAGTTATCATGTACAATACAATTTGATGCATGGAAATAATAATAATAATGCTATGCAGTACATTACAAACCTATTATTTTATTTCACATAATTGTAATATAAAATACTAATTACAGAAATTTACATAATTTCGTGGTACGTCCTTATACAGAGACTAAGTGTGATATCCAATTATTTTTATAGAATTTATTGTTTTGAAAATAGGAATTCTATTGATTTGTCTTATGTATTGGATACACTTATTTAAACATTTAATATAACTATTTTATACGCGGTAAACGAACCAATAAAACAACCTGCATATTATTAAAGATATGTTTTATCTATTTAATATTTAAAAACTAAACAATTATAAAATAAAATAATATGGGTTTTTAATAATTAAAAATCATACAAATTTTGCACATCATGTATTTAATTATTAAAGTAAGTAGGTAAGTAATTATAATCACTATCTGCATTGGCAATAATTACAAATAACGGTGATAAATCGTAAGATTGATTGCATAGATTTGCTCATTTTAATAGCTCGATTGCGTACGATATTTCTTAACATTAGAATTATGAAAATGATTATTTAATAATATAAATAATATTTGTCCATAATTTTTTATAATACCAAATACAATTTTATATGTATTAATAGTAATTTTATTGTTTTAAACGATATTTGATTATATTATTAGATATGTTTACAGCGCCTCTTATTTCCACAGTTCAAATTAAGTTTAAATATTTACTAACCCTCAATGATAATTGGCGGCTGTGTGATTGCCTTATAAAAGAAATATAATGATAACAAACTTATGACTTGCAATACATGTACACAAAAATTTAAAAAAAACTAAAAAATATTAATTAATATTTGGCTTTAGTACCCCAAATGTTTGGCTAATGTTCGTGGCACATTCATTACAATTGGCTAATAAGCGACACGAGTTATGTATAATATGGTTTTTGCTTAACCTTCAAACATATTTAGGATTAAAACTGGAAAAATATTAAAAAAATCGTATTTTTGTGTCAAATTTTGAATGATTTACTCTTACGTTATTTGGTCATCACTTTGAACTTAAAATGTATGTACAGCTCAAAACTTATTATAATGTACTTGACCCACTTCAGACCCAATAACTCATATGAATATAAACAATTTATACAATTCATGATTTTCATAAAACTTTTTTCAAAGTTCTATAAGTTGTAATGGTTTTAAAATACTACAAAATTATGTAACGTCAATTTGATGATTATTTTTATTCCGGTAAATTACCTTACTAAAATTTTTTTTTCATTTTTTAAACTTTTATCAAATTTATAAAACTTACTTATATCTAAAAAATAAAAATAAAATTATTTAGGCTTAGTACAAAAATATAACAATAATTTGTTTTAAATTACAATTTATGGAATAAAATCAATTTAAAAGTAGATAACTTACTACGTAGTTCTCACTAGGACATTAAAGACTATATATTATTAAAGTATTTTAAATTTTATAAAAGTATTTGGCTGAACATCAAAGAACTTGTTTTGACAAATTCAGTTAATTTTGATAAATACTTAGTATATAATATAATATGTACTAAAATTCAGTAATTACTTAATCTTTTTCTAAAAATGTATAAACACTAAAAACCTTCTACATTTTTTAAAATAAAAATAATATTAAAACATGGTAATGGTAACTTGAATCAAATTCAAACAATTATAAGCGACACATAATAAATGTTTAAATGAAAATTTATTAGCACAAAAAAAAAAAATGTTTTTTTTTTTTAAATAATATTATAATTTACCTCTGATTTGGTATACAGTTTGCGCGATGAACAAAATCAACAGTAAACACTTCATCTTTTAAAATTCATTTTCGTTTGAAATCAAATAATAATAATTACTTTACAACTATACCACACTATTCACTTCGATTTGAAAAGATAATATTTTTCGAACTTAGGTCTTAGTATCGCACATTGGGTTCAAAAATCGTGAACGCACACGCGGCAGTACATCGTAAAGTCAAAACCACATGGAAGCAACTGGGCCATTTGGCAGTTGCGTCGGTATTGTTACTTCTTCCACACAAGAGGCTCGTGTATTCATGTGTGTGTTCGTGAATAGTGTATAGTGCATGTGAACCGAATATTTTCATGTGTCTAAAACCGTTTTGGTGGGGACCGCGCGCGGGCTCCACATGATTCACTGCCATGTGCGTGCGGTTTGATGACGACTGGCCATCGAACTTGACGGGGAAATATAAAAACCACGACATAAATGAGTCACGGGTTGGACGTTATAAACATTACCCCTAAGTTGAATATTCCGTGAAACGTGATGATTCATTTGTCTTATTCAGGTACGGGTAAATAAAAAAAAGGGTCCTGCAGTCCCAGTGGACGATGAAATGGCGTTAAAAGAAATTAAAAATGATAATAAAAAAAAAAACTGCTTTAATCCTGTAAAATACATATTAGCACTTAATTCCATAGGACATTAAATTCAGTTCATTCAGTCCGAACATAAACTCTACGCGAATAGGTTTAGAAAAAATATCAATTAGACTCATCGGTATATTATACAAATAATACCTACGATATTTATTTATAGCTATTTATGTATATTTAATTATTAATTAAAACATTATACCCAAGTTCATTGCGTTGAATTCTTTCATGGATAGGCCATGGATTTCATTATTTTCGCTAACAACCGATTAAATTATTTTGTATAGTAAAAAGTCCTTTGGTTATTTTATTTTTTTTAATAACCTACGAATAAATGCGTAATACAACTATTGTCCCTATTTTTAAATTTATATATATTTTTATTTATACCTACCCTAAGTAGTTAATTCCATATAATAAATAAAGATCTACCATAAGCTATTAGACATAAATACACAGGCACACACATATACAATACAATGTATCTTTGGTTTACGGCCTATCATTATAATATTCACAATCACACCAAACAGATAGATTTATAAAAAAAAATAACCATTGTTCCTTAAATATTGAATCATATATAGTTGTATCTAGAACTAATCGTTTTATTATCGAAAAAAAAAAATTGTAAATACATTGAAGTATAATAATTCTTTCTATAGTAAAAGCCATACTTTTCATTCTGAAAATCGTTAAACTTTTTTGTACAGTATTTTTGAATACATAAATATTTCTTAAAAGTTTAATGGTATTGATTTATTTTATTACTTCTATCAATATTCAATATACAAGATTTTTTGTTTAAGAGAAAATTAAAAATCCAAAATATTTCTAATGTTTTTAAATGCTTCATTACTTCATTGAGACATTTAAATTAAATTTAATGTGAAAATGCACAATTACATTAAATATATCAAAACTTTCAAATTAATAATAGAATTTTGAATCATTTCAATTATTTTATTATTGAAACAATTGAAACAATGTATAAGCAATAATTATTGGATACTTGAATTCATATTTTTTATCTAATTTTTTAACATTAATTTGTTCAAAAACAAAAACAAAAAAATGTTAATATTTTATTAATATAATGTTCTCAATCAAAACAATATTGTCAATTCTACATAAATACAAACTGTACATAATTTATTCACCAAATTTATATACTTTAAGTCTTTAAATAAAGATTAGGATTAAACTATACTATACTAGGATAATACATAAATACATATATATTAAATATTAAATTATGTGTAATTTTAAGTAATATATGCATATAATATATATCAATAAATGAAGATATAAATATATTTATAAATTTATTTCAGAAAAATAAATTGTTGATTATTATCTATTAGTAAATATAAACCATTACGTTTATTCTTTGGTTTATTCAATATACGTAACTTGGACTTAGTAATTAAATTAATTTAATTCGTAGCATTTTATTTGAATATTTAATTCACTGTTAGGTAAATAATGTATGGTATATACTAAATACACACACACACACACACACACACACACACACACACACACACATATATATATATAATTGATAATTTACTGAGTAATGAGTTAAGTGCTTTTTTAACTTATATAGTGTTATTGTATATTTTTTTATTATTATCTCTTTAATTATTTTTAAAAATTAAAGAAAAATTTAGAATTAGAATTAGTAATATTTTATTATTTTATATTAATATATTGTACATAATAATTATTTACAGCAATTTATACTTAAATATAATATATTTTATTGGAGTTAGATTAAATAAAATAATTTTTGAATCACAAAATACTTTTATGTTTTTTAAACAAATATAATAATTCTAGTATTAATTCACGTGGATATCTTTTACCTCTATAATATCAAAAGTAAATATAAAGATAAGATTTAGTGAAGCTGTGTAAAACACCGCATTCATATTGCTACATATTATAAAACTAAAATAAAAAAAAAAAAATAATGATCTATTATCGAAAATGGAAATATACTTATGTTCAAGCTTTATACCATTGAAATAAAAATAAAACCAATAACCTTAAATTTTTGACTTACCATTGAGTTAAATATAATGTAGTAGTAATGTTTTTCATAAAAATAGTAATATTATTGATTTCATATTTGGTATATCATAATTCTATTACGATATAAACCAAAACTCTTAAATATTTATTTTAAAATTTTTATATAGATAAGACAAGTTTAACTTATTTATATATTATTTCTCCAGCCATTACATCTAAAATAATCTTATAGAACAGAGTAAAAAATATAGCAAAATTATCATTGGTAAACATAAATTAATACCCAAGATGTAAACTAACTTGGTCAATTATTTTAAGCATAATCCAGTCCTTAGTATTTTAATAGCATTGAAAAAAAAATAGATGAAAACTTTTAGAACGGTAAATTGTAATAAGTTTTTATTCTTTAAAAATTATTGAATCAACAATATAAATATTATTGAAATCAAGATAAATATCATCAAAAGCAAAAAATTATAATTAAGCCACCTACCCCCTCAGGTCTTAAAATGTTTTATACTGGAATATATAGTGTATAATATATACACTATATGGTATATATATATATACCTATTCACCTACTCATTACGGTCAAGCATATACTTCTCGAATGCCATCAGTACGATGAAATACGCCTCAAACAGAAATTACCGGAAACCCTATATGAGGATTTCACTGACGCCTACTCCTTAAACATCCAGAAAACTAATGAATTTTATCAACAAAGCTGAACAGTGAACTCCAACATTTTATTAAATAATATTAGCTAAGTGAATAAATGTACAAATACAACTAGATTAACGTAATTTAATTATTGGAATAACCATGCAGTTAATACCTTAAATAAATTTTGAAAAATAAATAAATATATTATGATGGTTAAAAAAATTAACAATAACAAATACATTTTTCCTACAATAGTAGGTATCCAAAGTTAATAATTCAGTATAAATCAGACATACTCATGTATTTCACAAAAATATAACAAACAATAATTGCACAGTTCAAAAATGATTTCCCCCAATAAATATTATCACCGATGTGTTAATTATTACTCTATAGTATAGTGACTATACAATACTATATCACACTAAGACATACTATTTTTTACCAAGACACTTGTTATACAATACGAGTATTCTTTAATAATTTAACTAAATAAACATAGATAAATTATAAAAAAAATAAATATTTAGGACCCTTTGAACTTAAATTTAATTACAAAAAATGCCATTGCTAACATAACAAACGTCAACTTTTAGAAAACGTCATACTCTTCTATATGTATTTAGGCTTTCTTAACATGTTCCAAAACTTTAACAATAACTTTGTACTTCACAGTTTGCATATAATTTAATATAAATTAATACATTAAGTTGTTCCATTTCAGCATGCAACTATTTCAGTCGATAAATACATAAATCGTCAAAACATTAATACATTGATTTAAATTATTTAATATTATCCATACGTATTGTGTGTTTTTTCATAAATGTATCTATATAAATACACATATATATTCATATACACAGTAATAATGTTTGATGTATGTTTTATTCAAATATAATACGTGCATTGTGTATATTTATATAAACCTAACAAGAATTCAAAATATATTTTACCATTTTTTCGTTCTTTACATTGTGCAGGTACTTGAAAATATTGTATTATTACTATATTTACGGACGCAGAGTCATGTTTGATTTTGACGTTTGGAAGTTTCTGTTTTTTAAATTATTTTTATGACAAGATATTTTTATTACTTCCATAATGTTGTCAAATTTAATAGACTTAAGTGTATAACCATGATAGTGGTTCAAAAATTAATTATTACATATTTCAGTGAATCATAAAATGCAACACGCTCAAAGCATTTAATGCCGTCAACCTTACATATATAGTAGAAAAAAATTGTAAAAAACCTTGAAATAGATGACTTTGTTCCATCGGGGTTTAAACTATCATTATGTATTATACTTAATGAAAAGATTTTAAACTGTTTTATATCAGAGTTGAAGCAATATCATCTGGAGTTTTTTTGAAAGAAACACAGTTTCTCTCCTCTATTATTTTTACTTTATATTTTTATGACATATTAATTGCATTTTCAGTAAGTAAGTATAATGTGTCTATTATTTATGAATTACTTAAGGTTTATTATATATTTAATGTGTATATGTAAGCATTTATATTTCTCATCGAGAGATTAAAAAATATGCATAATGATTTCAATAAATTTAATTCTTTGTATTGAATATTAACTATAAAGAAAGTTCTATTGATTATTATCAATACATCGTTAAATAACAGCTCTTGTTATAACCACTGAAATATGATTATTTTCAAACATTCAGTATTAGAACCATTGACTTTATAACATATCTATAAGTAAGCCATGCAACTGTTTATTTAGAAACAAGAATTATAATAAGTCAAAAATCTGATAAAAAAATAAAATAGTAAAATATTCAAAAAAATAATATTTTAATTTTATTTTTAGAAATAATACTACAACAGCGGTGGCGACTTTCGTGTATAGATTATCAAAACCAGTTAGGATAACGAAAATATAAATAATTGTATGTGCATTAACATTGTAGATGTAATTCACTAATAAATAAAGTTTGTTTTTCTTCAATAAAATTGACTCTTTTTTTGTTAATTATCAGATGATTGTCAATAACATAAA